ATGGGTACAGAAAGTTTAAAATTTTTCCCGAGACTAATTTTTAACTTCCCCGTTCGTCCTTCTTGGATAAGTCTTTCAATTGATTATCCTATCAACAGGTCGAACTACATGGTATCATAGACATAGAAGCTCAAATGAACCATAATTCCTTGTACCTAAATAGGAAGGACATACAAAATTCCCACACTTGGGAGAATGTGTCCTGAAAGACTTTTCAACAACTTTATTGTTGGGTCAATGGCATGTGCTTCAATAAATCATGAATAAAAGATGCAGACATGATATTAACACCCACAACTAGATTATAAAGAGCATCGAAAGGAGCTTTATTAATTTGGCAACGAATAGATATAGAAGGTGAGTCTAGATGAATCACATCAAAGGAAAGCTCTGATTCTTTTAACCATTCATTGCTTATAATAGACACTAGCTCTTTCATAGTCTTTTTAAGGAAAGCTTCCTCAGAAGGGTCTAAAGGTTCTTGATTGGATGATTATTTCCTAGGCTTCTGGGGTCTCCTCATAGTATAGTAATTCGAGGTATCTCTGTATTCATCAAAAAGTTCATCCTTGAATTCAAGCATGAAATCCAAAATTGGAGTTTCCTCCTTTTCCGGTGGTTCGGGAATTAGGATAGCTGAAGTTGGTGATGGATTAGGCAAAAGTTTGGGTTCAGCTATCTAGGACTCCTCCTCTAGTGGCTTCTTTTCTACATCTTCAGGGGTGTTCTCTAAGATTTTAGTAAGAATGCTTCTCCCTGAATTAGCGGAGACATGCAAGAACGATCCTCCTGAAGCCGTATCAAGATGCTTCGAGGTTTTCCTATTAAGACCCATATAAAAGTGTTGAAGAAGAATGGGGTCTTGAATAGCAAGGTCAGGGCCAGTATTAATGAGAGCATTAAAGCATTCCCATGCCGTGCCTAGAGATTCTTTTTCTTCTTGTTTAAAAGATAGAACCTCTGAACGAAGGCTGACTACCCTAGAGATGGGAAAGAAATGCAAGCAAAAGCTAGAACAGAAGGCTTCCCAATCTCCTTGTCTACTTCCTATGGTGAGCTTGTACACCATCATAAGGTTTCATCTGACATGCCTACAATGCGTAGGCATGCACAGGTTTGCTCAAACTCATTTAGGTGGAATAAGGATATTCATCATCTTCGCCCGAAAAGGATTGATCTCGGACCATGTTGATTAAATACGGGCACAACTCATAGCCAGGTGTTAGGATAGGTTTTGAAGATTCTAGTGACTCTAGGCATGCGCTCATAGGTGCGGCGTATTGGTAGATAGGGGTGGATGCTAGATCCATAATGAAAAGAAAAGAAAAGTAAAAGATAAAAGATAAAAGAGTAACGATACAAGGTTAAGCTAGGTTCGAAGTTAACTCAGCAACCGTATCCTCGGCAACGACGCCAGAAATGCTTGTTGGTATATATTAACGCACACAGAATAAACCACAAGCGCATAGATATTATACCGATGTAGCACTTCACTGGGAGTACCCAGTTTTATATCGATCTCGAGGAAACATGTGTGAGAATAACTAAATCTAACTTAACCCAACTTCACAATCAAGGCTAGATAATAGGAGTATAAAGGAGATCACAAAGGTCTTCTAGTTCTAACTTCGGTAAGCTTTGTCTTCTATTGTTCAATTCTGAGGGTATTACTAAAGAAAACATAGGCAGAGTATGTTTCCTATAGCAACAAGGTCCTGCTAAGCCTACAAACGGGAGGTGGACTACAAAGGATTCAATGAGGCTGTAAGAGTCACCCTCATGAGCTACCACCGATCCGGAATATAGGGTACATCCATGAGTAATCGAGTCTAAGCACCATGCTTACACTACGAATACTACTTTAACCCAGGAGCTACAAGGATTAAAGTACTCAAAAGAGAGTCGCAAACCTAAAGAACAATATGAACAAAATGCTTACTTGAATTAGAAGTCGATTACCAGAGAAATCTCAGAAGCAAGCTCATGAAGAACTTGATTCCACCAGGGTACAAGCCGTAGAGAGAGCACCGACAGGCCGGGACTCCTCCAAAACTCTCTATCTCTCTATCTCTAATACAAGATTAGATCTTATTGAGGACTAATCTTCTTGATTGCTAGCTCTGATCCTGGTGGAAATATGAATTAGGGTTTTTGGCCCTCAGGCTCTCAGGATCAAATGCATGGATTCTCTAGAGGGGGGTACAGACAGATATATATATATATAGGGCCCTTCAAGCATCCTGGACCCTCGGGTCAAACTGACTTAAAAGGACAGCGTAGATGTGATCCTTGAGGCGGTGGAGAACCGACATAGCAACACGGAGGCTGACAGAGGGGCCCACAGGCCGGCTGGCCTGCAAGTGGGACCGGCCGGCCCCACATGATAGGGGCTAGGGCTTCACTTTGGTGGAGAGCCTCTAGAGTCTTCTAGAGACTTCCCACGTAGGTACTACGGCGGAATTCCATGATTTCCTCTAACGAATAGGTCCTCCTTGATAGTTTTCTGATTAAATCCTGCTGGAAACACAGATTCATCAAAACTCGTGGAATTTGTTAATTAAAATCCCTAAGTCTATGTTGGTGATCCATTTTAGTCATTTATACAAGGTACATTGATGGTTTGTGATGAATGTTAACTACCATCAACAAGTACAAATATGGCCACTACACCTCAGAATTGCAATGGTATTCTCTACAACAAAGTCCTCAGTCATCTTGATGATCAATTTTCTACAACCATGGACACCCCTAGGATATCGTACATGTCCAACATCAATTGCACTTGGAGGCATTTATTTTGGTATTAAGTTGATTGCATCAGTCAGGCCATCACCTGTTGGTTTGCTACATCTGCAACATGCACTTTTGTGGCAATACTGGTGGCCAACTACAACACTTGCTAGTCAGGTTCAATGGCATGACATCCTCGAGCTACTGATTGGTGGATGGTTCCTTGATTCCATACCTTGGCTGCAAGTATCAGGGGGTTTTGACATAATTGTGTGCGCCATAGTGAACCTCGATGGTGCCTGAAACTTTTATTTGGAGCTAGACTCAAGGATTTATAATCATCTGCAACTATACTTGGTTTATACTTAGCGCTGCTTAGATAAACTTTTGAGAAGAATATGCACAGGCCATGACATCCAAGAGATGGGTGCTGCTCTGCCCTCGGCACATGACTTCATCCAATTTCCTTGGGATCCCGATTCTCATCTTCAACATCGGCTTGGGGGCAAGCCGAGTTTTAAGGTGGGGGGAATGTTAGGGATCGTCAAGTAATGGCCCGACATGTTCAGCCCAGCCCACAAACGCCCAAGGCGATAGCAAACAAGCAGTACAAAGAAATGAAGGAGCAGCCGGGTTCAGGGCATCGAATGAATTATCAAAACAGTCTTCTCCTACCTTTGTTCCTCTCCTCCCTCCTCTGACCTCTCTCTCTCTCTCTAAGTCTAGAGCTCTCCCTCCCTTGCCTAGTTCAATTCCTCCCTTCTCCACCTAGATTGCTCTGCTAAGCTTGAGTCCTCTCTTCCTCTGAGGTCGTGTAATCCGATTGTACCCCAAGTTCCCAACTGAGTATTGAGTGTTGTGTCATCTACTGAGAGGTGTGCTAACAGAAGGCTTCTTAGCCTTCTTGTCCACCAAACTTAAGTTTGAAAGAAGTCATGGTGATGGTGACAAGGAGACCATAGAAATCCACAATTCACGGTAGCTGAAGAAGCAACCTGTAGTCATTAATAGAATGACCGAAGCAAATTGTTAACTATTTGTCCCCACCCTTACACAACCACACATGGGCAACAAACACACTATTTTGCTCTTCTTCTTCCTTCATTTGATCTTCGTTAACAAAGTTACTCCGTGTTGTTACTCCATGTTGTGGCATCACCACTCCATGCCTCAACTAGGGGTTAGCTAGGGTCAGGGTGTTCGATGTTAGATGGGACTCTTCTCTGGTGATGCACAGGGTATAGAGGGAGGTCACTAGCCTATTGATAGCCAGCAATGATGGCGAGGTGCATGTGAGGCAACAAGCCATGGCCATGGGCAAGGAGCTAATAGTGGGTGACATAGGAGGATGCTAATGTCATGGCTATGTTTCTGAGAAAGGGAGACCGTACCATATGTTAAGGCAATAGTGGGGTGGCAATGACAGGGAACCGATAGAAGGAGGAGAAGGGTAGCGCGAGGCATCAGAACAGTTCATGCAATGACGGGCGACAAGGGTGAAAGTCAGCCACAACCTGTTGTTTCTGTGGGTGTTTGATCCACTCATCAAATCGCTCACTCGTCCCATCCCTTCCTTGTTCTTCTCAACTCATCCACCATAGGGAAAAATGTTATTCCCCTCTAAGAATTTTATACATCTTTATTATTTGCTCCGGAACCGATTAGATCTTACTCCCTCCATTCCAAATTATAAGACGTTTGGGCTTTTCTAGATACATAACTTTTGCTACGAACTTTTATATATATATATATATATATACACACACTATGTCTAGATGCATAGTAAAAACAATGTATCTATAAAAGCTAAAATATCTTTTGCAATGGAGGGAGTATATTAGAAAAAAGGGGGAATATTGAAAACTAATCAAAATTAAACTCGAAAGAAGCTATCATAATTCATAAAGTTGGACGAGTTGATAAAATCGTGCTGCATTCACATGTCATACTCAAATATAGTACAAGCATTCAACTACTGATACACACGAGCTAGCCTTGACTAGGGAGCCACACATCATCATTTCGCTCCAACTTATTCAACACAATTATACACGCAGAGAAAATGAAGCAGCAAGTACAGGAACACCTCGACGCTCATAGCCGGCCCCACCCCACCTCTTCTCAGTCTCACTCACACAAGCAACAGCTTATTAGCAAGGTCCGGAAAGGGACTTATTATTGTGAACCGTCAAATTAACACGCATGCAGTACAGAATTAAACAGGTGGTGGTGCGCCGGAGCAAGCTCGATCGCCGGCCGGTACGGTACGGTCACCCGAAGAGGTGGTGGTGCTTCTTCTCGCCGCTGGCCTCCTCGGCGTCCTTGTGGTCCTTCTTCTTCTCGTGGTGCTCGTGGAAGGCGTAGCCGCCGGCACCGACGGCCGCTGCCGCCGCGACCTCCTCGGTGATCTTGTGCCTGTGCGCGTGCTCGGGATCCTTCTTCGCCTCGTGCTTCTCGTACTATATAGTATATATGGAAGGGGAAAAAAAGAATCCATGGAACGAAGACGAGTGAAATTAAGGTCGATCGTCGTCAGCACAAAGAACAAAGAAGAAGCATCGATCGATGATATACAAGGGCGAAGGCGCCGGCGGCGATGACGCTGGCCTCGCCGAGGTGCTGCTTGTGCTTGTGCTCCTTCTCCTCTTTCTTGTACTTCTCGTACTCGTCCTCGCCGGTGGTCACCACCTCGGTGGCCACGGTCTCGGAGTACCCGTACTCGCCGGTGGGCTGCTCCTCGTCCTTCTTGTGGTGGCGGAAGTGGTGGTGCTTCTCCTCCGACATGGCTGCTGCCCGGTCGAGCTACCTGGTCAGCTGCAGGTTGCTATACTAAGCTAGCTAGTGTGGCTTAACTGGGGGAGTACTAGCTACACTCCACTTGGCTACCAATTGGCTGTGTTTGACGATAGGAGATGGCTGGCTTGGGGGCGTTTTATAGGCGATTCCACACGCCATTACCCAGTGGGCGGTGGGATTAGCATGACTAAACATGCATGTGAATAGGATAACGATATTATTACTGGAGTCACAGAAGCAGATGGGACATATTATGGCATGCATGTATATACCTGCCTCACATATTCCTTCTGGCTGCAAAAGTTTGTTCCTCTCTAAGTGTAATTTATTTAGTACCTATAGGACAAAAAAAGACAAATATTAGGCATTGTTTGAATCCATCCAACTTAAGTTTATAGCTAGCTAAAATTTCAAAGTTAACTTTAGCCAGCTAAAAGTACTTCTAGCTAAACTTTAGCTTGGGTGTTTAGATTCTCCAACTAATAGACTCGATCAGCTAACTTTAGCTAGGTTAAAGTAGCTAAACTCAGTTAAACTTTAGTTGGACTTTTAAGTGGACCATTTATATCCCTAGCAGCTAAATTTAGTCGGCTAAAGTTTAGTTGGTGGATCCAAACATGTCTTTATTGGGTTTTATTTCAACATTTACAATGTTCTCATTCTGTGAAATGACATACAGATCCCGCGTGATGTCCTTAAGTTTCACCAAAATGCAAATAAACCAATTGGAAGCTTCTTAAATTCTTATCCACACACCACTGGAGCCCATTAACGGGGCGCCACGTTCATTTGGACGGTGCGTCCCAACGACCTTGTTGCCGGATGGATGGAGTAGCATTCTGTCATTGACATAGCGCCTACCCCATTTGAGACGACACTAGCTAGTACTACTGATCTTGTCGGCAGAAACTTAAAGTTGCGTATATATCCTATATGGCGCTGGTATATGTTGTAGATCTACAGGTATATACGGCGTATATACCTTGGTGTCTGGTGATTCCAGCTGCAGAAGTTTATAACTCGCCTGATTCGAGCCTACTAGGTAAGAAGTCAGGGGTGCATCCATGTGGTATGCCAGGAGAGCCCGGCATAACCTATTGGTCGGCTAACATTCATTTGATACTTTGATACTCACTTATTAATTTTGCTGTTATAGATAAATAAAACCATAATGATACTGCAAAAAAAAATCTCCGTCCGTTCGTTCCACTTCCCGCGGCGCCTCCATCCCACGCATCCCCCGTGGCACCTCCCCCCACCGCCGATCGCTGCGCCAGCCGCCTGCCCCTTCTTCTTGTCCCCCGCCAGGCCAGAGCTCCCGGCCAGCCTCTTCTTCCCACCCCCGCCCAGCCAGAGCTCGCCGGCAGCCGCCTACGTCTGCGCCTGCAGACGACCCCTTCCTCCCGGCCCTCGCCTGGCTAGAGCCTGCCGGTGGCCTGCGCTATCTCTAGCCTGTCCATGCCTTCCCCTCCGCCCACCTGCGACGGTGGCAGCCCGCATCCCAGCCAAAGCTTGCCGGCGGCCTGTCTGCGCCGACCCTCTGCTCTCCTCTAGAAGGGGTCGTGACGGCGCTGCCCTGCCCTGCCCATCCCGCTTGCGTTGCGTCGTACAGAAGAAGAAGGGTGAAAAACACATGTTGCAAGCCTATGTTTCAGATGTTTCATAGGTATGTTGCAAAAGTAGATCGGGATGTTGCAATGGTTGTACACGTATTTTGCAAGCTTCTGTTCTCAATGTTTCATCTGTTTTTTCAAATGTATTGCATATGTTTCACATATATGTTTCAAGTGTTTTATCTGGATGTTGTGTATGTTTTACAATGGTTTTGAGGTGTTTTTGTAAGTGTTTCCGATGCATGTTCAAGTGTTTCATCTGTCTTTAGACGTATGTTGCAATTGTTACATACGGATATTTCAAAAGAAGATCGGATATTGCATCTCGCTCCCTCCTCGTCTTCTGATGCCTCGCCTCGGTGTCTCCACCTTCTCTCGACCCCGGCTAGGCATCTGAACCAGAGGCGCGGGCGGGCGCCGCACCCTTCCTTTCTTCTCGATGCTGGCGGCTCGTAGTGGGATGGCGGCGTGGCTTGGTATAGTGGCGTAGCGAGAGACGGGCTGCCGTGAGTACACGCGGGGGCGCGCTCTTTCTGTTCTGTTACGTGGGGGAGGGATAGGTGCGCTCGTTTCTTCTGTTATGCGCTGAGATCGGACAACTCCTGTTTCTCAAATCGGATTGGCCCGAGCTACGTCCGGACGCGTTATCTGACGGACATCCAGGCGCTAGTCGTCCAGTAAATAAAAATAAAAAGAAGCCTGTGGTCCAGTAGTACAACCCTCTCGCCCTAACTCTATGAGTGTGCTAGTTCGATTCTCATAATCATCTGATTTTTATGTTTCCTATTTTTTTTCTTACACTTCATTTATTTTTTTTATCCCTAAATTAAGACGGTTCAGGTTCAATTTTTACAATGAGCTGCACTTTCTTTTAAACTTTTTCTATTTTTCTATCCCCTACAAATTAATTACCAATACTTATCTCTTAATGCAAGGTATCCACATCATATTCCACTAAGTCCATATCATCCCTTATTAATTACAAAAAAATATCCACGTCATCTCTATCATGTGCAATACTTTTAATCTTTAATCTATTAACATACAATTCATCTACCTACGCTATTTATTTCATCACCTATTTCTCTATAATGTGATCAAATATTCTATTGGTTTTCTTCTATTAGCTTACCGGTTTTTTACTAGATCTGATACAATAAAATAATATGCAAGTTAAATTCATATATATACATTTTCAAAAAAATCATATATATACACAGTATACATAATACCATATATAGTAATGTTATGTATATAATTGATTTATTTTTAAGAAAATCCTGCTGCAACACCGGGGTACGCTTCTAGGTTTTCTCCAATTCTGTAATACAAGGCTCTTGTTCATGCGCTCTTAGGCACCCAAGCGCATGCAACGAGTCCGTTACTCTCTCACACAACATTTAGTGTTCTTTTCATCTGCATGCATGGCTAAACGGGTCTCCATATATTTATTCGGCATACAAATATGTGATCTTATATGTTCGGCATACAAATCATGCATGGTTACTTCAATTTGACCACATATTCGTATCGGTTCAAGTTTTTTTAACCTTTTACAAGGTCAGAACATCTCCAGGAGTCTTTGTTAAACTAACTCTCTAAATCATTATATGGAGAGCCATTTGAATAAAAATCACTCACTATATCTTTTCACCCTCCTACCGCTTTTCTAAATCTTGTGCACACTAGAGATCCAACTCCGTTCTCCATCTTCTACCGAGAAATCCATAATAGAGGATGTCAATATTTGAAAATCCAATTAAATAAACTGTTAGAGGAAACCTTTTAATCTAAATCTTTGTTCTATTAATAAAGAAGGATATAAAGAGGCTCATAGAGTTGCTCTCAAATCTAGACGTCGATGTGGATACTATCTTTGCATTTTGACAACCTGCAAAAATATGTCGGTACACCAGAGTTTGTAGAATAATGAGGGTTAGGAGTTAGGACTAAGTATGCTAATAATTTTGGTGGTCAATAGGATGCCTTAACTAAAAGGTCAGCAGCTTCCTCAATGGATACGGCTTATCTTTTGACAAAATAAATCTTATTGCCTACACTCGAAGCAATCGCCGTCCATTGGAGCTAGAAAAAAGGACCAGATCTGAAGGCAAAAAAAAAATCGTGACACGTCAAATGCTCTGAGAAAGTGTACTTTGATCGCGATATCGAACGACTTAGAAATTTCAGAGTTTTCTCATCCAAAAAACATGTCTTTCCATTTCTTTTTTGTTTGTTGAGATACCAGAAATGGGTCCAGGCAAATCAAAATAATAAAAAAAAGATTGTATAGGTCTCCACGCACTCAAAAAATATTTGATTCTTTCACTTGATTAAGCTAGATACATGCATGTGGCAACTTGCATGCGTGTGCAAACATATTTCTCTAACCTAAAGTGTTTCAATTTTTTTATGTCAAACTTTTGTTGCTTTGGTTGTGTCTAAAAATTGTATCATGACAAATTAGTTTCATTAAATCCACCATGAAGTATATCTTGATATTTCATTTATTTGCATTGGTATTGTAAATGTTAATATATTTTTGTAGCTACATACTTGATCAAAATTAGAGAAGTTATACTTAATTAGGATAATGAATTGGTCATTTTTTACATTTTAAAAAGAGAGGGAGTTATATGATAAACCAATATGTACTACATATACCTCACAATGGCATAATTTGTTCTCCCTAATTAGCTAAGTCAGACATTAATGCAACCGTGTGTTCGATTTGAGGAAGAATATGGTGGTTCATCATTTTCTGAATCCTCAAGTTTTTGTTTGCTCTGTGGAATATATATAATGGATTGATTCTGCACCACTACATGCCTCTCAAGCTAATAGTTATATTATAGGATGAAATGGTTCGTCACACCAAATACCTCATAAGGCCATTCTCAGTGAGGAACTTTATGGCATTGTTTCCAAGACTGTCAGAATAAAACTAAACATAGATGAAACACCCACTCTCAATGTAAAATTTTATTTTATGGTTTCATAAACATTTGATTTTATGACTCAGAGTTGGTAATTATGCCAAGAGAGTTTCATCCACATGAAACTCACTTCTCTCTCTCTCTCTTCTTAAAAACATTGCCACTCATCAAAAATGATTTTGTGATAGCTTATTAAATGCAAATGAAACTCTGATTAAACACACACCGATACTGGCCTAAATAACCCAAAGATTTTTGAACTTTGGAGAGAGGTTATCCTTTACAAATTTGGGAATTATGACATGTCAACTCTTGTGTTTATGATCGATCAATGTACTATATATAATAAGGGCCTTAAAAGATCCACTTTTCCTTTAGCTAAAGAAGAGTATGATGCAAATCACAAAGGGAGCTGGAAGTTGTCGGCCACTTGATCGAT